AAAAAAAAAAAAGACCTAACATATACATTTTTTCCTTTTTCTTTCTTATTAGAGAAAGCTAAAACCAGCATGAATATAGTTTCATATTTGTTTTGGATTATTGCCTCAAGTTAGAATATTGGGGGGGGGAAATATGGATCAAATAAAATAAAGGAGCACTTGTATAGTATTTGTCACAATTGCCAAATCATTTCCCAAAGGATCACAATGATTTTCAATACTATGTGTTTCACCACATTTGCAACAGTAGCAGTTATTATTTTAATATAAATTTAGTAGAAGTTCCCCGTATTTTAGGACTTTCTTTTACTTGCATTTAAAACGATTATATCTCAACAAATATATGTGTGTACACATGTACACATTATAAAATCTGCCATTTTAACCATTCTTAAGGATATAATTTGGCAGTATTGCTAACAGTCATAATATTACAAAACTACCACTATTATCTATTTCTTTTATTTTCTTTTTCTTTTTTTTCTTTTTCATTATCCCAAAAAGAAATCCTATTACCATGCAGCAATGACTTCCCTTTGCCAACTTCCAGTCCCAGGTAACCTCACCTCTTCCTTCAGTCTGTGAATTGGCCTACCTTAAGCCCTCCACTTAAGGACTTCCCTGCCCCCTCTTCTTCACCTGGTCAGCCTGTTTTGTTGATACCAAGCGTGAGATGGGGATAACAGCATAGACTTGTTCCGTGCCAGGCCCATGCCATTTCATTTAAATCTTACAGTAATTATTTGATATATTGTTCATCCTCCAGAAAATAAGCCCACTCACACAAGGCCATACAACTAATAAATGACAGTATCAGTATTTATGCCCAAGACTTACCAGTTTCCCAGAATTTATTTATATATTTATATATTTATTTATTTATTATACCTGGGGTCGAACTCAGGACCTTGCACATGCCAGGCAGGCGCTTATGCCACTGAGCTATCTTCCCAGCCTCAGCACTTCCTTTTATACATTACATTACATTGTATTTCTATTAGCAATTATATGGGTACTAAAATTGCACACTAACCAAAAGTGAGTCAAGACTCTTCATAACTACCTTCGCACAATCACTTTTGATAATGCCCCATGTTGAATTCTATTTTTGCACCTTACTACTAGTAGCATGAATGGAGAGCTTGCTTAAAATGCAGAACCCCAGACAACTAAATCAGACTCTAAATTACCAGATACCCAGCAAATTCTTATGCGCATAAAAGTTGAGGAACAACCACGTTAGTGAATTGAAACAAGAAACATTTTGATTATTTAATGATTTCATGCAATTTAAATCCAATTACTAACTGATCCAATCCTCTAGCATAAATATTATGTTCTACTATTCTTCCTGTTCGTAAGGAAGCAATGAATTAAGATGAAGATGGCAAAAACATGGTGAGAGAGCTCGTTAGGCTATGAGCTGCAGATACACATTAATTCAGGTTTCTGGTCTCCTGTTTGTACCACCAAGGACTTCAAGCCTTCAATTAGGCATAGACTTAGAGTGAACTCATCCCAACATGGCTCCCAAGGCCCCCTAGGCAATCTAACTCTCCTAGGCCATTCCAGAAGCAAATTTGTCTGCCCTGTTTTAGGTTAGCAGTCCTCAACCAGATCTGGACAATCTTCAGTAATTCTCAGGTTGACCAAGCATTGGAGTTCTGACCAACATGGTCATTTCTTGTGCAGGAGATTGGCTCCAGGACCCCTATGAATTATCTTCAGATTACTGACAATGCCAAATTCAAGGAAAATGCTATGTAAATAGCTATTTTACTGTATTGTTTGGGAGATAATGACCAAAAAAACCAAGTCTACTTCTCTTCTAAGTATTCTTAAGCCATGGTTGGTTGATCTGCGGATGTGGAGCCCATGACAGGGAAGGACCAACTCCTAGATATAGGAGAAAGTGATTGTGTACCAGTTACAGGCCTGGCTCCTAACAAATGCCACACTAAATGCCCCACTCCAGGTTAATCATAAGAAAGAAGGAGACTAGCCAGGACCCTGAGTCACCACTGGAGTACAACTGTCCAGTGGAATCCCACAATCAGCACCAACATGGACACGTACTGATAAGCCCCTGAGATCTGAGCTTAGAGTGGCTAGGCGACTCCACCACACGTCCAGATTGGAATTCAGCCCGAGGAGCCCCCAAAGGCGAACCTTTCTGAGCATTAGAGACCAGAGTGAGTGAAAGTAGTTCTCTATAAGTTACCCAGCATCACTCAGACACACAAAAGGACATTTTGCCAGAAAGTAATGTCTTTGTAAGACCTGTATGAACTAGGTTTACAACTACTGGATTAAATTCCTGCACTGTACTAGAAATGAAAGTCAAACGGGAAGTTAGAGAATCATCATCCAACAAATAATTACATGCAAGGGTAGTGATATATTCCGCATGTAGATGCCTCCTGCAAGAAATAAATACTGATTGTAGATTTGTTCTTAGAGTTAATTAATGATCCTATTTTATATACTCACTAAATATGAGTAAGTGATTAGAAATCTTATCTCAAGCTGAATATAAAGTGAAAAAGGAACCATTTCTTGCAACAGTCAGGACTGCATAAAAAAAGATACTTTTGAGAACTGACTATAGAATTTTCATAAAAACCACCATAGCCTAGAAGTTGATTTCCAAAAACTAAATAAAGACTATTATAAGCATTGTGTTGTATGAAATTAGAACAAGGCTTGTTTTGGGTTTTTTGTTTTATTTTCTTCTGTTGTACTTAGTACAGGGTCTACAGGGTCTCACTACATAGATCGGACTCCTAGTGATCCGCCTATGTTCAGCCTCCCAAGAGCTGGGATTACAGGCGTACGCCACCACACCCAGTCTCAATCACCATCTCAGTGCACCCTGGAGGCAGGGCCGGGACCACATGCCAAGGATCAAACCCAGCCACTAGGCTCTACCTAAGCAGATGTTTTAATCCACTGAGATATTTGGCCAGCCTTTAGAACAAGTTTCTATGTCCAAATTCACTCTGATTTTTATCAGTACTGACATTTCACTGAAGGCAATCCATCGTGTCTTACTGAAAGACCAAACAGTGAGGAATATGTTGAAAGTGTTTAGTTATTTGCTTGTTTTAAAACACAGTCCATTTGTTATGACTTCTAATAAATCTCCAGAGTCCACGGGGCTCCATCGGGAGGACCCAGATGAGTGTAGTGGATTCGCAAGGTTTTGGAGCAGGGAGTAGGAACACCGCAAGCGTATTTTGGGGAGGATAAAGCTCCTATCCAGGGCAGGATGCCGAGCATGAAGAAGAAACCAGAGGTGTCACTAAAGCCAGGTAGAAGGGTTTACAGGATTCAGAGAGTGAATAACCAGAACAACTCCAATGGAATTGACAAAGATGGAGGAAAGAAATATATTGAGAGAAAAGATAGAGTAGAAAGAATAACTGGAGAGAGGCAAAAAGGGGAAAATTCTGAAAGCCTTAAACCCAGGTGTCAGAAGGGCAAAGGCCTGGCAGGGGTATGGAGAGGTGCTGCAGGGGAAAGCACTGAAGAACGCCTTGCTCGCAAAGGCTCAGCAGAAGGACAGGTGGAGAAGTCACACGTCTGTGCTGTAGCATAGAAAGACAATCAGTGTGGAAGTAAAACAAACAACCATGCAGGTCAGCCTACCAGAGGCTGCTAGAGACAGTCCTCAGTCCAGAAAGGCACAGCACATGGGGCCAGGCAGATCTGCCTTGGAATCCTGCTTCTGTCCCTTCTGTGGGACCAGGGCAACTCGCTTGACCCTTTCTGAGCCATGGTGTTCTCCACTATAAAGTGAGATAAGCCATACATTATACTAGGTACTTGTTAAACAGAAAAAATCTTCTTGTCTCAATTCACTGAGATTATTCTCCCAGTTACCTTAAACATGGCATTTCCTGGGATCACAAAGGGAAATCATTTCTAACTCTCTCTCCCTTGACCTACCCCTGTAAAACAAAAATAATATTGTTTATATCTGTGGCACTCAAATACCATGTTTTCATCAAAATCAGCTATGAAGTTGTTTTAGGTATAGATTCCTCAGTGTTTATCTAAGATCTTCTGTTCAGTGTTTCTGGGTGGGGATTTGGGCATGAGTAACTTTATAGATGAAATCCACTAATAAACCATGCTTAAGAAGCTACAAAGAGATTGAATAAAGCAATCGTTGCAAATCCATACAGCTCGGTACTGACATACAGTACTTCTTTGACAAGTGGTACTGGTTTGGAGGGGTAGGGTTGGTGACAAGGCTGGTGGAAGTGGGATGGTGTGGGACAGTGACAGAGGCTGGGTTGTGTTGGTCAGGGCAGGAAGTGGCAGAGCCCAGGCCCTTGAAGATTGCGGCTGTCTCTAGGAGAGTATCAGGAGGCAGCCACTGGATATTCCCAACAGAAACAACTGTCGATTCTTGCTTCTATTAGAATTTTTTTCCTGGGCTACCTCAGAGGACAGGGAACTCCCTGGAGGTCAAAGTCTCTTTTCTGAGGTAAGGAATGAAGCTCAAACCACAAATGGAAAACTATACTCTGAATTGAAAATCACATCAGTTATTCCAAACCATGTCTTGCAACACCAAGTGACAGCAAACTGTTTTAAGACCAGCTGGTACAGAGTAAATGCTCCCTGCTAAGACTTTGGGGAAGATGAGTTGACAGGGACTCTGGGTAGACTTAGGCTCCAGAGACAAGACCACTGACTACCCAGCAATTCGCTTAGTTTAGACCTCACTAACTAACTTCCATTCTACAACTACCCTATCCCAAAAGCCCACTAATGTCCCCCTTTAGAGAGCCTATTAAGGCAAGCCCTATTGTAGTCAAGTTTTGCAAGGAAATAGATTTAATATAGGACACATGATTTATAGGATTATTGTAGAGTAGTCACTGAAAAAGTCAAATATAAAGTCCATACAAAATAGTTAGGATAGATATACACCTGCTTTCTCTTAATTTAATGAGAAGAAAGATTTGTACTAATAGTGTTTATGGGCAGGATATCATGTCTGCATCTTGTACTATGAATAACCACTAAGACGACAACAATATGCAATGTATTAATTACTGAAACTGTCCTACTAATCGGTTTTGAAACTGTCTCATTGCTATTTGTTTCTCAAGAAATTTAATTAAACAAAACAAGAGTGCAAGAGAACTTTCCACACACTAGAGACCTGAAGAATCCAGCTGAGGGCCTGGATCCCACAGCAATGCTCTGCCTGAGTCTGTCTGGAGACCTAGAGCCCATGCCAGCATCCCCCACAAGTCCACCTGGAGGCCCAGAGCCCACAGCGATGTCCCATGCAGGCCTATTTCACGGATCTGCACTGGGAAGGCCCAAAGGTCAGTGGTGGAAGCTAGAAAGTCCTCAGCAGTGGGATGAAAGATCTGTGCTAGCAGTCCGAGGGATCTGCCCTGGAGCCAGGAAGCGACACCCAAAGAAAGGGCCAGAGCTCCCCTAGAGAGAACCACAGCCGTGCTCAGTGCCGGTGAGGACCTGAGCTCCTCCGATGATGAGAACAGCAGGGTTCACATCAGGAAAGCCAGCGGGGCATGCTTCTCCAGAGAATCACCAGCACCATCTTCCCCTGCGGTTCTCCTGTTCTGCTGCTGACATCGATCCTCAGGTGGCCTCCCACACCCAGCACCACGCTGACTCAGTTCAGCTGGGGGTGACAAGTCCTAAGCAAACAGCATGACCCTGACGTTCCCTCGCCTTCCGGCCTTCGAGGCGCCCCCATCCGTGCAATAGCCCCTCTCTCTAGTTCTCATTCACCTCCTTAAGGAATATTTCTCTTTCTCCCTCTCTCAGGCCAAGCCCAGTTGCCCCATCCTACTGCCTCCAAAATGTTCTCCATGTGGTTGGACTTTAATTTTATTTATTTATTTGGTACAGGGTCTTGCTACGCAGTTAAATAATATTCCTCTTGTCTCAGGAACCCCCACACTGGGATTACAGCAGTGTGCCACAATGGCCAGTTTGGGTGACCAGCACAGCATGCAGTCCTGGGGATTGAACCCAGGTATTTGCACTTGCCAGGCAGGTACTTAGACCACTGAGCTATCTCCCCAGCCAGAGGCTGCTCATAAACGAAGTCTCCTCTCCTGTTGACCTCTGCCTCCAGGCAGGGTTCTTCCCTTCATCTCTCAGTCTCACAGCTCTTCCTTCCCAGCTGCAGAAGCCAGAGCAGAATCCCCTACTCCTTCATTTGCCTCCTGCTTTCTCACCAATAATTAACCTTGTCATCATTTAATACAGACACACAGAGGATATTTCTATCAAAGCACCAGGGCTGCTTAGCCTCAGATATCAACATTGGAAATTCATCACAACCCAGTGCCAGGAAAAAGTGACTACGAGGAGGAAAAAAACTTCCTTAGGACTTCTGTGCCTTCCTCACTAGTGGAAACAGATGGTTCCCAACAGTAATGACAAAAGTGCTATGCACACTTGATGAGAAGTGTGCACATCAAGACAGAAACAGAGATGGAAGACCAATTAGCAACCCATTGCTACAAATATTTTACATCAGAAGACACTGGATTGTGGACAGAGATTGCATCGTGCCATAATAAAGCTATTTAATTAGGGGGGGAAAAGCAGGCAAACTTTGCACATTTAATATTTTTCCTTTCAGACATTGGGTTTAAACACCAGCCCACTGAATTCAAAACCATTCATCTGCTAATCCTGCTACATGCAAGGCTTGGGGTCAAACTCAGCCAGTCTGACATCCTAGGCAATTGGGGTGGATGCCACCTGGTAGACAACTTGTCACCCCCAGCGGAACTGAGCTAGTGTGGTGCTGGGTGTGGGAGGCCCACCTGAGGATTGTTGCCAGCAGCGTAAGGAGAGGCTGGACAGGCTGCTGGGGAAGCTGTTTGGAGAAGCTGTTGGAGCTGTTGGAAGCTGCTGGTTCTCCTGGGCTGTTCTGCTAGGTGACCGTGTCATGCTGGTTTTCCTGGTAAACTTGGCTGTTTTCATTGGAAGAGGAGCTCAGGACCTTGTAGGTGCTGAGAATGGCTGTGTTTCACTTTAGGGGAGCTCTGGCCCTCACTTCGAGCATCGCTTCCTGGCTCTGGAGGGGAAGATGGTGCACTGCTCAGTCTTCTGGAAAAGCTTGCCACCTTGGCTTTCCTCATATGAACTGGGCTTTCCTCATCCTTGGAGGAATTCAGGACCTCACTGTTGCTGAGGATGCTGTGCTACTTTTTTTTTGGGGGGGGGGGCTCTGCTTCTTACCTTCAGTGCTGCTTCTCGGCTCCAGTTCAGATTCCTCAGCCTGCTAGCACAGATCCTTCTTCCCGCTGGCGTAGATTCTCTAGCGTCCACCGTTGACCTTTGGGCCTTCCTAGAACAGATCTGTGGAACAGGCTCTGGGGCTCCAGGCCCCCAGTTGGACTTGTGGGAGACACTGTTATGAGCTCTAGATTGGACTCCTGAAGACATTATTGTTGGATCCAGGCCCTCAGCTGGATTCATTGTCTTTTAGTGTGTGGACAGATTTCCTGTACTCTGTATGTGATTCTTCGGGTGATTCATTGTGAAAATAATCTTATAAAATGTGTCCTGTATTGTAGTGTTCCCCTTTACAAAACCCCAAACCATGAAAGCGATGTGGTGAGACTAGCAAGGTGGGGTATAGGTGAGCAACTGTCTCAAATAGCTGCACCCCAGGGCCGCCTTCCCTACCGCCACTGTGGGCTGGCCTCGAATGACCACAGTGGCTCTCATCTTATCCTCACCAGAACATCATCTGTGTTTTATTGCCCCGACTTGCTCAGGGGAGCAGCTGTCCCACCCCCAAGTGTGTACTGCCCTGCCAGGGTAGAAGGCCTGAGAGTGCAGAGGCAGTCCTGGGTGTGCAGAGGCAGTTCTGGGTATGCAGAGGCAGTCCTGAGTGTCCCCTGAGCCCACCTCCTCCTGCTCAGAAGCTTGGCCAGCAGAGTCCCCTTGGGACCCAGGGGGCTACTTACCATCAAGATTCTGCAGCAGGACTTGACTACTGGGAGGTAGGAAAATATCAAACAGGAAAAAAAAAAAAAGTCAGGCGTATTGTTTTGCTTCAAGCCTGCCCAAGAGAGAATCTACAAGCCATCATGGTGAGGCCTAAGGCAGCATCCTCCCCAGGGTGTCCTGCTCTCACACACAATGAGAGCCCAAACAAAACCACACAATTTCAGAGCCTCCAAGAGCCCTTGAAGAGACCAGAGTTTCCCTCCCTGGCACGCAGCTCTGGGTTCACTGGAAAAGCAAGCGTCAGATGTGAGAGGAAAGGGGAGAAGTGAGATCTAAGAACCACCCCACTGCAGCGCAGAGACCTTCCCGCTCACCTTTCATCACCAAGGCCCACGCAGTGCTGGATGAAGGAAGACGTTTCCTTGCATTCACGGAGCGCCTAGGAGGTGTCAGGGGTTCCAGCAGGCTCTGCCCTAAGGACCGCATCAGAGGGGAGACCATGCAAACAAGCAAGTTGAAGGCTCAAGCCTGCAAGAGAGGGAGGAAGCCAACACCCTAAGCAGGGAGAGGTTCCTGGAAGAGGTCACATGGAAACTGAAGGAAGAAGGGAGAAGTGGGTGCTCCAGACAGCTTGCCCAAAGGCCTGTGAGGGACAAAGAGGCTGGCTGTGTTCTACGCTCAGCCCGCCTCGGAGTGAAAGGGCAAGGCTATGCACTAGCTTGGCTTCCTTCTTCTTGCCCCCAGGCTGACTTTATTAAACTGCTTTTCCTTTTCCAGCCAACTGAGCCTCATCAGATAAGGCCAAATCTACGTTTATAAAAGATGACGAGAGACCCTGCCTCCATTGCTCTATCACCACCTCCTCCACCAGCCCCACCAGCCCCAGAGAAACCCATCTCTCTCTGAGTCTGGGTTGCTCTGAGAGTCTCTGAGGTATATGGCCTGAAGACCACCAGGCTGTCAAAGTATTCAGTGCCTTCGTGGAAGGCCTGCCACCTGCCTCACTCTGACAGCTGGGAAAGGCAAAGTAAGTCATGCCTCTGTGGCTAGAGGGGATTACGCCTTAGTGCTGAGGATCTGCGACGTCAGGTGGAGCAGGCCCATGTTAGGCCTTGGTCAGGGCCTTCTAGGCAGCCACTAGCTGCTTTCAACTCCTTCCGACTGCCGTAGAAAGTACCTGGAATTAAGAATTCTGGATTATTTTGCCTGAAGGAGAGAAGGGGCAATTTAGAGGTTTTTTGGTTACTTTTCTCTCATTGCTGGGACAAAATATACAACACCCCAAATTAAGGAAGAAAAGGTTTATTTAGCTCACAGTTACTGAAGGTTTCAGTTGACACTTGGCCAGCTCCAAGGCAGAGCAGCACATGAGGCAGAGGGCAGCCATTCATAGTGGTGGAAAACAGCAAAGAGCAAACAGAGGAGCAGCAGCTATGGCAGTAAGCAAGCTTTTTTCTCTTCCTTACACTGCATGCAGATTACCCTCCCTAGGCGGGTGTAGTTTATGGCTCACACCCATAATCCCAGCACCAGATCATGAATTAACCACAAACTCTAGAACCAGCCCCACGACTACATGAGACCTGGGGGGAGGGGACACCTAGACAAAAACCATAACAAAAGTAAGAGAAAAGAGACTAAAATTCTTGAAGCAAAGTCAGTTTCAAATTATCTACTTAATTTTTTAAAAGTTTTCTATGCTTCAGGTACCAAGAAGAATCCAAAAACAACCTAAGGCTCTTGATGTGAGGGGAGGCAAAAGAATTTTCTGATGCAAGGCAGAACACCTAGAAGTTGCATGTATTTAAGAAGTATCTTATTTTAGGCAAAAATAAATAAATGTTAAATATGGCTCTTTAGACACATGTATAGTGTAATAACAATTCACATTTGTACAGAGCTTACAAAACTTTATCATCATGATATTCGATACTTTCCCAAATCAAATGAGATTTAAAAGAAGATATAATTATCACTTAATAATGACAAAGCTAGGATATGTGTGTTCCAGCAGGAAGGGCACAAACATTGGAGGAAAAAGACATAGATTCATGCTCTACCTAGTAACTAGATTTTCAAAATCAATTGTGTCAATCCCTGGCATGCCATGCCCACCCTGCCCCTGGGGTGCGCTGAGACAGAGACTGAGACTACACGTGGTGGTGCATGCCTATAATCCCAGTGCTTGGGAAACTAAAAACAGGAGGACCACTATGAAAACAAGCTGTGTATGAGACCCTGTACCAAATACATAAAAAACAAAATGAAAAGGTTATAATCATTGAGATGGATGGAGATAGATTATTCATTTATTTGCAAAAATGTCATTAGAGTACTTGGTACTCCATTGGAGGTCCTGGCAAAAGGAAACAAAGAAGCAAAGATATTGTTGAGTTTTGAGTTTGCATGGCTAGGTAACTAGAGGGCTCACACTTCAAGTTAGAAGACGCTGGCATAAGGGCAACCAGAGAGGAGTGTCCTATTTGGATGCTCTATTGGAGAGTGATGCTCAGAGTGCACAAGGAGCTGTCCAGCAGCCACTGAGGGCCGAAGACTAGAAAGAGTCTAGGGATAGAGTCCACTCAAGAGTTTTGTCGATGGACACTGAGTCGTCAGCAGATAGGTAATGGCTTAAGTGATGCGACAGAATGAGATCAGTCCAGGAGAGAAGCTGTCCATCCTGGCCACGCAGGGACGTAAGAGTGAAGTGCCCATTTGGCACAGGAATTTAGAAATATGGAAATGTGGCCACCCTCATAAGAATTACATGATACTGTTCAAACATCATGGATGCCATGGGCCAACTTTAGGAGGAAACTGGGTGTCTGCAGCTGCATGACATGCACCCCTTTCCCAGTTAAAAAGGCCAGAAGGGAAGGGCCTGACGTCACCTCCTGTCTGGATCTTCTCTTTGACTGCGAGACCAGGCATTCTGCAGCAGCCTTGCCTGCAGGCTATAGATGGAACTGCCAGGGTACCAAGGGTACCCTAAAGAAACCAAAGGAGACCCAGGTTTGAACTGTGTTCCAACTGTTTGCTTCTCCAATTACACAATCAAATAAATCCCTACTGTCATGCTAAGTTGATTTGAGTTGGATTTTCTGAGTGAGTTTGGAAGCACAGCAGGAGGAAGAAATGAAGGAGTTTTCATAAGGATCTATTTGCCCAGGGGCCAGGAGAACAAGAATGCTCAGCCCATTTTCCTGCCTCATCAGATGATGCTGAGGATTAAAGCAGCCAGGAAATGTGAATATGTGTCCCAGGTGTAAACTGCAGTAGCAATGTAGGACATGACTTCTGCCTCCCCCTTCCAAGAGCCCAGTGCCTTGGAATTGCCAGATAGGTCCCACTCTGATCCCTTACTTTCTGTACTACCAGCTGATGGAGCAGCAGGAAAGATTGGACACTGATCACCTAGCACCTGCAGAAATGACCCATGACCCCAGAACCCCAGGCACTCCCCTCAGTCAAGATGTTCCTAACCCCCTCAAAAGGATATAAGGGGTTGTAGCTTCAAGAAACAATGTCCCCATGCTCTGCAGGAAAACATTCTCCCTTGATCATGCTGGACCACACTAGATTGCACCTGTACATGAAGAAGACAAAGAGGAGAGTGAATAAATATTAGAAATCCTTTGTGCGGGATGGGGGGTAGGAAGGTGGGAGGCATATTTCAAAGCTTTTCTAAATTTAATTATATGTCATTGTCTAATTGTATTTCATAATTGTGTAATTATCCCCAAGCTTTTTTTTTCTTTAAGTAATAGAACTAGTAATTACGCACTAATTGAAATGTGTAATCTCATCATTAGGATATGTAAATATATAGTAGTGTGAAGATAAGGAAATTAAAATTCTAAGGATGACTGCTACCAAAACCCATGACATGTTCCTGCTTCTGTCCCAGGGTCTGCTGCTCCAATGGGCTTTGAAATTCCACCTAGACAGGGAAGGTAAGCTCCAAGCTCTGGAAGCATACAATGTGACATCACATTTACCAGCAAATGCAGGCAGTAGATGGTAGGATTCTTCACCACTCTACAGCCCTACCCAGAATACCGCCTTGAGATTTCCTATGATCATTCTTCCCAGCAGGGAGAAACACTATTGTGTCAGTCAGAGTTGTACTAGAGGAAAAGATATAACACAAGATGTACAAATGTATACGAAATTCCAAGACTGGCTTACGACAGTCAGCCACAGAGTCAGATGAGGAAGTGTGGAGAGGGCGTCCACACCCTGGAGACTGAAGGATTCAGTCCAAGGTCTGGAGCTCATGGCAATATTCCAGGCAAGTCCGTATCAGGAGGCCGATGGATCTGCGACGGAAGGCTGATGAGTCTATACCAGAAGGCTGAAAGATCCAAGGCAGAAGCTGAAGAGTCTGCTGTAGAAGCCAGGAGACAATGTCCAAGGTGACTGGGAAGACCAGAGCTCCTCCTGAGGTAATGGGATGCTCATCCTTCCTCAGTTCCCTGTCATAGCCTTTAAGTGATGAGTCACTCCAGGGGGTGCCACCACACTCTAGGGGGTGGAATTGCTGAGCAGATTTAGTTAAGCTTTTTTTTTTTTTTTTTTTTTTTTTTTTTTGTGGAACCTGGGATTGAACTCAGGTCCTCGCGCTTTCCAGGGAAGCGCTTATTCCACTGAGCCATCTCCCCGGCCCCTAATTAAGTTTTTACACTTGATCTTAGCCAAAAGGCCAAAAAGCGATCTAGTTAAGTTTTTAACTTCTCAAGTTGACGCAATGTATCAACTACTACAACTATAGCTGAAAGGGGCTGAATGGGGTGGTGTATTAACTCCCCCAGCCCACCTGAATACAGAGTACTGAGAGGGCTCACTGATACACAAAAAGGTAATATAATGTCCCCTCTTAACCCTGCATTGTCCCTGTTAGTTGCCCAAACAAAATATCTAACACTCACAAATGAAAGAGGAAACATTTTATTGTAACTCGAAGATTGACTCTGCCATAAAGAAGGATCAGCTCAACACAGGTAAATGGACACACCGTGAGGCCATACTCCTGGTGTAAATACTGCATTGTTTTTCTAAGGTGAAAAACTGAAAGTGTAAATATCTCACAATTTGTAGACATTTCAGTTCTTCCCAAGGCTTCTCCTCCTAACCTCATACCCAGCTATAACCCTACCAGGGCACTGATCCAATATCACACAGGGATCCAATCACCTCCTCCAAGTCTCCATGAACACATGAGGCTTTGGGGTGGTATCCAGACACAAGCCACAGCACCCAAAACAGATGCAGTCCCACAGCTGGCCATAAGTTGGCATGTGAGGCTTTGCACCTGTAGGGAAGCCCATCCATCAGGACCACTGTGCAAGTAGTCCTGGACAACCCCGGATGGAGGCAGAGGACCAGCATGGCCACAGCATCCAGCTTCCTCACCTGGGCTGTGATCAGAATTTTTCCTTAACTAAAGTTTACTCAGCCACCAGTTTGCCAGGAAATATAGTTTGCCAAAATACACTGTTGAGCCACTTGACCAAAATCCCTCACCTTTGATACCTAGCCAAGTTATTCTTAGGAAGATTTTAATCTGCCCATTGGCTCTAAATCCTCTTTTGTCAGGCTCGGCAGTCTAAGCACCTGCCTGGCAAGCATAGGGAGGGACCTGAGTTTGATCCCTGGTACTGCATGCTGTGCTGGCTCAGCATGGAGACTGAGTGTGGTGGTGCACACCTGTAATCCCAGCACTGGGGAGGCTGAGACAAGAGGATCACTGAGTCTGAACTGCATAGGGAGACCCTGCACCAAATAATAACTAACTAAATAAATCCTCTTTTGTACTCATTGTATTCAGAGACAAATTTGCTCTCTCCCCTACTGAAATGGTCTTGACTCCTCTTATGACTTGGGTCTGGATGTCCCCCCACAGCCTCATGCAGTCATATAGGTAGGGGGTTTTCAGAAGTGGCTGGATCTAGAATGTGTGATGCTGGGATTGATTCATGGTACAATGCTAGGCTCAAGGGTATGAGTGCTGCCCACCCTACTAGCCTGGATAAAAGAAAAGGGACAGAAAGATGCTGTTGAGGGCCCTTGTTGCTTCTATTTCTTGGTGGGCATCGTGAACTGTTTCTCTCCGAGATGCATCTCTGCCTTGTGCCGTCCTGCCTTGGAGCCAACCATGACTGAAACCTCTATAAGATCTGAGCTAAATAAACCTTTCTTCCCTTAACTTTGGGTGTCTGGTAATTTGTCTCCACAATAAGAAAGGTAACTAAGACAATCCCTATAGAGATGGCCTCAAATGAAGTCTTTGATGCTGTTTTTGACCCATGTCTTTCTTTTATAACTAAAACCTCAGGATGTTAGTCTTTTTGTGTTGCTCTGGTAGAATACTGATGACCATGTAATTTATGATGAATGCAATTTACTTTCTCACAGTGCTGTAAGCTGGAAAGTCCAAGATCAAGGAACCAGCTTCCAGTGAGGGCTTTCCTGCTGCATCATCCTGTGGTAGAAGGCAAATGGGGGAGGGAAGGTGTCTCAGTTATTTTTCTCTCATTTCTGGGACAAAATACCTGATATCCAAAATGAAGGAAGGAAAGGTCTCTTTAGCTCACAGTTCATGAAGGTTTCAGTCCCTGCTGAACTGGCTCCGAGCCAGAGAAACACATGGCAATGGGCAGCTGTTTGTGGTGGCAGAAAACAGCAAAAGAGCAAGAGCAAAAGGAGGACCAGCAGTAGCAGCAAGGGAGAAAGCCTCTCTCCCTTCCCTGAGTTGCATTCAGGCTGTCCGCCCCAGGACCATTGTAGAACTCACACCCATAGTCCCAACATTGGATCACAAATTAATCACAAACTCTAGAAACCCACCCCATAACTGCAAGAGGACAGTGGGGACAACCAGCCATGAACCATAACAGAAGGAGAGAGCCCCAACTCACCCTCCTCCAGGAGCACAAGTCCCAACCATGATGGTGGAGCCATCATCACCTCATCCCCTCTTCAAGAACATCTTCTTAATATTGTTACAGTGGCAGCTCAATTTCAATGTGAATATTTAGAGGCAGAAAATATTCAAACTCCAGTATGGACCATGAGCAAATCGATCCAACCTACAGCCTCACCTACAGGATAAGAAGTGCTCTTATGAAGTAAATTCAACATGGTAAGACGGCCCAGGTGAAGAATGACTGCCAAACAGACTTCATGGACAAGTGACATCACGATTCATGCCTGATGGATTAGTGGAAGATGGGCATGGTAGGGGAGTCAAAGTAGAAGACTGTGGGCCTTGGAGGACAACATGTGCTCTGGCCAGAATGTGAGAACATGGCCTTTCAACAGGATGTGGATTACAAAGCATGCAGTCAAGAAAGACAACCTGGAGGGAGATGAGGCCTCGACAGAAAAGCCTTGAAACCTTCACCGAAATTCAGAGTCTCCTGTGGGGGGCATGTTTGACTAATTTGGAAAAGGCATAATTCCAAATGGACTACAATAGATGGGAATGTCTTAGATAGTCAAGATCAAGAACCGCAAGAATGTAAGACCTGGGCTGGGGAGATAGCTTGGCGGTCTAAGCGCCTGTCTGGCAAGTGCAAGGACCTGAGTTTGGTCCCCAGTACTATATGCCTTCCTGGCCCAGAAACTGGATGTGGTGACGCACCCCAGTAATCCCAGCACTGGGGAGGTTGAAACAGAAGGATCACTACAAATCTGAACTGTGTAGTGAGACTCTGTATCAAATACATAAATAAATAAAATATTTTTTTAAAAAAAGAACCTAAGGCCTGGGCTTTCTCTGCAACACATGCTCATCCTGAGGACAGGAAGTCTTCCTTTGACCACAACCCTTCTTTTCCACACTCTCACCTCACACGACACATTCTTCAAGTGACTGTCACCATACAACAGCACACAAGGCTCTAAGCCCACAGGTCCCTGAGGAAAGACTTCTCCAAAGAATTCTTCCCATTAGACACATAGCCGAACACTGGGGTGGTGTTCCCCCACCATCATGTTAGAAAAGGAGGATCTCAGGCAAGCTCCTGCAAGGCTATAGTGGTTCTCCAAACTCCCAGAGGTGTGCAAGGCAGAGGGAAGTCACGTGCTTGCCTCTGCCGCAGGACAGCTGAAGTGTGGCTTGGATGGCAGAGAGGAGCAGGGAGGGTGGCCCCCTGCAGGGAAGCCATTGGAGCCCCTCTGTGACAGCTTTGGTGTGGGAGAGATGGCAGGGGGAATCAATGTCAGGAACCAGGAGGAGACAAGTGGAGCCCCTGCCTGGTTGTGTTAAAGCCTGTTGCTGAGTTTCAGTCACATGAGCGGGGACCTGACCGGGGCACAATCTGCTATAAGAACTCTAATCGCAAACCCTGGAAAACGCTTCTTGCAAATCCTGCATCTCTCCCTCTCTCTTTTAGCTGTCTTTTTAAAAAATTAATATAAAGGGACAGTGAGATAGCTCAGCAGTCTAAAGCACCTGCTTAGGCAAACTCAGGCAAGCTTAGAGAAGTTTAGGCAAGCGCAGGGACCACGGTTCAATCCCAGCACCACATACCACTCCAGCCCCGCACCCAGAGAGGGCTGAGCAGACCACAAAAAAATAATAAATAATAATAAATAATAATAATAATAATTTAATATAAAGCATTCAGGCCACATGCACACAAACATGCCTACACAGATGTCGGCAGCTCTGTCCACCATAGTGGGGCTGCAGGCCAGGCGGGGAGGAGTAGGAAGACAGAAGCTCTTCCATGACGCCACTGAAGAATGCTTTCTTCCTGACATTTTCTTCCCGGCCTGGACTCTGAGCTACAGTCACTGAGGCCCTAAACGCCGCCGACTTCCAGCCCGCCAGTACAAACCCCAATTCATTTGTTCAGAAAAGTAACAGTTGTCTTGGTTTGAACGTGTACGCAAGTCTCTGTGATCCGCTGCCTCAGAGGCGCGCGCAGAGGAGCTGGTGTTCGTGACAGCATAGCGGCACATTACACTGAATTGCAGCGTGAAAGCTATTATCCACCTCAGAAGTCTCTCTCAGTAGTCTGGAAGATGGAGCGGGTGACTCCCGGCTGAGTCATTATCTAGGCCCTCTTCAGAGCAATCGGCAGGCTAAGTAGGGGAGGAAAGGATTGAGAGGCAGTCATGGGGACTGCAGTACGGAGCTCTGATCCTGGGTACGGTGTGGGGCCTGGGCCCACCTGTCCCCTGTGGCCTGTCCCCCGTGGCCTCTCCAGCTCTTGCATCCCCGCACTCCTGAGCCAGAGGTGTGGCATGTGCTCTCAAGCCCCAGGTCTCTCATCCTGGGTTCAGGGCCCAGAGACATTTATTTTACCTCTCTAAAATTCAGAGTTTGCTTCAGGAAAATAAAAAAAAAAATGGAAATACAGATTCACAGTTGTTGGAAAGATTAAAGGAGACGGTATCATTAAGCTGTACTGATTGATACATTGTGTCAACTTGAGAAATTTAGAAGTTTAGTTAACTGACTCAGCAGAGAGCCAGGATTCTTAGTTTGCAAATACCCGCATCCTGTACAAGAGGAGGGCGTGGACATTGTATGAGTTCTGCACCCTCAGCCCCAGGGTGGCTTGTTTATAATATAAGCAGGGGAGAGAGGCTGGCTAGAAGCCGCAGCTGCTGCCCTTCCCTTTGCTCTTTGCTGTTTTCTGCTGCCATGAACTGCTGCTCTCTGCCATGTGCCACTCTGCCTGGGAGCCAGCCGAGTATGGACTGAAACATCCACTAACTGTGAGCTAAATCAACCTTTCCTTCCTTCGCTTTGGGTGTCGGGTATTTTGTCCCTGCAACAAGTGAAACGTAACTGAGACACAGTGCCTGGTGCATAACACATGCGAAGAAATGGTCCTTCCTGGCTTCTTCCCCTGACAAAGAATGCATTCAGCCGTTACTTTCAGGGTTCTTTCCTCTTCTCCAGGAATTATCTCTGTCTGGGCTGGCTCATCTTCTTCGCCAACAAGAAAATAGTGTTTACTGAGCAATGGCTCACATTGCCTTTCATCTCTCATTTAATCCCTCCAGCAAGTCCATGGGCTGAGCACAGTTATAACTGCATTTTCACATACGACAACAAAAGCTTGTCTATTTTATTAAAGGTTTGGAGATAACTGGGAGGAGATGGCGTGTGTACACAAGGCAGGTGTAGCTTCAGGATTATGGGCCTGTGGTTACCTGGGGACACACAGAGGGCTCTATGGAGCAGGCTCTGTTAAAATGAGCATTAGAAAATAAATGGGCAATATTTGGTAAAGCAACGATTAAAGGAAGCAGCTCAGGGAAATGGCGCGATGACTCAATTACAACAAAGGTGTTCTAATTAGTCTTCTTGACTCCTGGCTCCGCAGACAGTGAAAGAGAATCAGAAGTGTGGAGTGTAATCCACGCTGTTCTGCTCCTGAGTTGGTGATAGCGCTCACATCACGGCCCTTTAGAGCTTTCGTTTTCCCTACCAGAGAATATGAATAAGAATATTGCTTTGGTTACGGGATTGAACAAGAACACGATTTGTAAAGAGTATAGATCAATGATTCCCAGACCTGCCTAGATGTTAGAATTTTCTGGGGTGATTACTTAAAAAATTTTTTTTTCAAAAACTGCATTTCTGGAGAGTCTCAGCTGTAACCAGCAGGAAGAAGTAGGGAAGACGTTGCCTGATCTTCCTCTTCCCTCCCTGACCCCCAGCTCTAGTCTACCAGCTCTAGTCTGTTCCCCTGATGAGCCTAACCAGAAGCTGCCAGCAAGGGAGCCCATGGTGCAACATGTGGGGGTCATTCTCTGTCCCCTACCACCAAGGGGACAGAGAATAATTGGCACTTTTCTCTTTCCAAAGTCCTCCGCTGGTTCTCCACTGCCCATCCAAGCCTTACGTCCCCAGCTGAAGGTTAAGTCCCTTTATAATCTACACCTTTCTGGATCCTTCTTCCACTCACTTATCACACACTCGGGGCTGAAATGAAAACAGAATTACCCTTGTGTTTTCCAGTCCACTGTGTCCTCTCCTGCCATTCTCCCTGCCTGAGTCTCCTCCCAAGAAGAGCCTACTCATCTGTGATTTAAGGTCTGCCATGATTTCTGTCTCCTCCACGGCCACATCTCTGCTAACTTTGTCTGTGTTTGTTGTTGGTTTGTATGTCTTTTTTGAGACAGGGTCTCACTATGACGCTAACTTTGGTTTTGTTTGTTTGTTTGTTTGTTTGTTTGTTTGTTTTTGCAGAACCAGGTATTGAACTCAGACCCTTATGCTTGCCAGGGAAGCGTTTATACCACTGAACCATCTCCCCGCCCCTATGACGCTAACTTTGAACTGGGAAGAATCTTTCCCTCCACCCCTCCCTCCAGACTGCGCCCCTTGGGTGCTTCACCACACACCTCTCACCTGCCATCCATCCCATCTTTCCCTGTATGACCTTATGCATGGCCACACCAGGTTGAAAGCTACTTGAGGCTGGGATCATGCCCTCTACATCAGACTCCTGTGTGTTCTTTCAGATCCAACTCAAATGACAACTCCTCTGTCTCCTCTGAGCAGAGCCCGGTTGTCCTCCCTCTCTCCTGCTGTAGGACTATGCACTACATATCTGCCCCACCAAGGAGCCGTGTCTTGTTAATTAATTTCACACTCTCCATTCTGTGTGCCTGGGCTCAAACTTGAGGCTCCATCATTCATTCCAAAACTGTGGCATGGAGAAAATGGAGAAATTTCTCTGCCAGTTTCCTTGTGGCATCTACCACAGGAAATAAGCTCGTCTATAAAGCACTCAGCCTAGAGCCAGGCAAATATATTAACTACTATGTAAATATTAGCTATAAATAATACTATTTAATTCCAAGATCCTTGGAGGAGAACCTGCATCTTGATCATTGTTTCCCTTATATCCTCAAAATTTCTGGCACGTAGTAGATGCTCAATCTTTGCTTGTTGGTTGTGTGAAGAAACAGGCATTTAGTCGGTAAGTATTTGATTGGATGGTTGGGTTGGTTGCTGTATGAATGGGTAGGTAGGTAAGTGAACACCTGATAGCTACTTTGTACATGCAGATTAGGTGCATGAATAATTAGGTATTCAATATATGTTTTCTGGTTAGTTCCTTGCTTAAAACAAATGAGTGAATGATGATTTGAATAAATAATAGGTATTTAATAAGAAGGTAGATTGGCTACACGGTCGAATTCACAAACAGATTTTCCACAAATAGCAGATGCTCCATAAATGTTGGCTGGTTGCATAAATGAACAAATACCCTAAGTGAGACAGCAGCCTGGAGTTCCAGCTGAGAGGACACTGCTAGGGCATTGCTCAGAGGGAGGGGGAGGGCAGAGGCTGCGCCCCCAGTAACTGCTGTGAAACTGTGCCCTTAGCCTCTGCCATTTCAGATGCCCCTCCCCCTTACCTGACACCTGCTTCTGCATCCCGCCTGGTGCTACATAGTGATACGGGAACCTGAGGTAGACAGCAGGGCTGGGGGTGGACCAGTCTCGTCTTCTCCCCAGTCAGGTAAGAACCAACCTGGCCGGATCCCTGGGCCCCAGAATTAGCCTCTATGCCCTTCCCCAGGTAAGCAGAGAGGCCCTAGCTCAGCGCCTCAGGAACATGTCCAACACAGCAACCTTGACGCACAAGGCTGCTGGCTCCTCCCTTCACACATCCTTGGCCCCAGTCCTGGCCCCACCACTCCCCTGAGGCAGCCCCAGCAACTCACATCCCTAGTTAATGAATTATTTTGCAACACGTCTGGAGATGCATGAACTAGAATCTTAACTCATGTTGAAGGATTTACCATTTCCATTAAATATGCCATTCATTTGGTGGGTAATTAAATGTACAATAATGGTCTCTAATTTCCATCTTAAATGACTTACTAAGAAGAGCAGAAAAGGATGCGCAGGGTATAATTTGCTGAGAGTCTCCCCCATTACTGAAAGCTTTTAGCACACAGAAAAGGGAATTGAGTAAAATAAAGTTGGTATTGATCCTGTGCTACACGGGAATCATCTGCCCTTGCCCATTGCCCCCCAATCCCGGGGAAAGAGACTAAAGCCTACAACAGAAGAGCACCCTACCCCTCAGAATGCTAGAGCAGGCTGGATGCACACATCCCAGGAGTCTGAGCTCAGGGAAGAGAGGAGAGGCTGGGCAGGAGCCGGAGGCTGCAGCGTGATGGGGAGGACGCTCCTCTGCAGAGCTTGCCACAGGCCGAGGGTCATCAGTCTCCATCCTCTGCATCACAGTCCCCACTCGATGGATGTGTGCTTCATGAGAGCGAATACAGTAAGAACACAGGCACACACACACACACACACACACACACGCACACACACACGCCAGTGCAGTTCCGCCTTCCCGTTCCAGAAGCCCCAGTGTAAGCCAGTTGTACAGGGGCCACAAGAAAGTAGGCATGAGGCCAGCCAAATAGCTCAGTGGATTAAAGTGCCCTCAAGCAGGCCCAGGGGCCAGGGTTCGATTCCCGGGCCTGCCGTGCCAGCCCCGCTCCTAGAGCGCGCTGAGATGGCAATTGAGACTGGCATGGTAGTGCATGCCTGTAATCCCAGCTCTTGGGAAGCTGTAAACAGGCAGACCACTATGAGTCCGATCTAGTAGTGAGACCCTGAACACCGTGTAGACCCTTCCTTAAAATACAAAAAAGAAAGAAAAAGAAAGAAAGAAAGAAAGAAAGAAAGAAAGAAAGAAAGAAAGAAAGAAAGAAAGAAAGCAAGCAAGCATGGAGAGTGGGTCCTTACCACACCAGGAGAAACAGTGCCATCTGTGAAATGCCCCCTCCTACAAGCTTCATCACGAGGCTGCCAGGTGTTAACATTAGTGCGACAGCATTTGTCCTGTCTTGTGCAGTAAGTACCGAATCCTGTCTGGGGGACAGCTGACGTGCCATCAGTTCCAGGTGGTGAGGGAGAGCAGAGGCACTGCAGAAGGGCTGGGCCAAGTCTCCCAACACCCAGACCTCCAGACGAGCTGGGAGGATCTTTCTGCAGTCCCACCACACGAAGGCCAGAAGGACCCTCAGGGACCACCCACCTCCCGCCCACTCACCTGACAGATGAGGACACCAGCTCCGAGGAGGTGCTGTGATTTGACCAAGGCCACCTGCTCATTAGTGACAGGACTGGGACAAAATCTGGTCTCCAGACTCCACTTCAGCGATGTTCCTTCTACCTCTGGCTGTCACTTTCTCTGAACACAAATTCATCCGAGACATCAAATGACTGCTTTTCTTTACACACACACCAGAAGGAATTGAAGCAACACTTAGCAAAAAGAGGACCAAATACAAGCCCTTGGTAGAAGGTAACCACATAGAGATGGCTGCCCCAGTAGAGTCTACCCAGCAACTCTGCTTTACAGCCCTCCCTCCAGCCACCCTGCCTACCTTTCCTGGCTCAAGTAGAGTGATGGTGTCAAGCATGTTTTCACCTGCAGTGAAGGGAACTGTACAAGGAATTGGTCATAGAGGCAATCAGAATTGATGCCCACTTCTACTAGTGAAGACAGTCTGAGAAAAATTTTACTCACAATTCAGCAGCTGTATGAAAAAAAAGGAGAATAATAGGGCTTGAATCAGGCTTAGGGTAGCCCACTGAAACCAGGATTTCCAAGAGGCCTCTTTTCTTCATTTTTTATGGGTATAATTATAATTTTTTTTTGTATTTTTTTTAGGGAAGGGTCTACAGGGTGTTCAGGGTCTCACTACTAGTTCAGATTCATAGTGATCTGCCTGTGTACAGCCTCCCAAGAGCTTGGATTACAGGTGCGTGCCACCACGTCCCATCTCAGTTGCAATCTCAGTGTGCCCTGGGGGTGGGGACGGCACGCCCCCAGGGTGGGGCCAGCAGGGCAGGCCCAGGGATTGAACCCTTGGCCCCTGTACCTGTTTGCAGGCACTCTAATCTGCTGAGCTATTTGGCCGGCCCATATTTTTTTTTTTTTTTTGAAGAATATAAAATAGTGATAGGAAAAAACAAGCATTAGAAACAATACAGAATTTTACTAAACAGGGCTGGCAAGATAGCTCAGCAGACTATGTGCCTGCATAGGAAAGTGTGGGGGGTGGAGTTCAATCCCCGGCACCACATGCCACACTGACCCCACCCCAGGCATGCTGAGCTGGCCACCGAGTGTGGGCATGGTAGTGCACACCTGTAATCCAATGCTGAGGAAGTGGAAAACAGAGGAATCACTATGAGTCTAAGCTGCGCAGTGAGACACCATACCAAACACATTTTTTTAAAAAATTATAAGATTTCACTAAACAGAGTAACAGGAATTGAACAATGGTTGCTGTATTACATGACGCATTTATATTAGTTGATATAAACATGTAAGATTTGTTTAAAGAAAAAACAAAATAATAACAAAGAAATTATAAGAAATTCAAAAGAGGAAAAAA